GCTTGGCTCCGCTGGGCCCGCGCTCCGGACCGACCGAACGACCGACCGACCTAGGTTCTTGCTGGGGCTCTAAGGAGCAGGTTGTTTTCTCTCCTTGTCCGTCTCGTGCACCTTTCAGGGCAAGTCCCGGGTCTGGCTAGAAACCAAGTGGGCGGCCCACCCGGTGGTCCGAGGCCAGTTCGTTCCCACGCTTCCTGCGCGAAGCACCCCCTCTTCCCGCGGAGATTAAGGGGTGAGGGGGTTAGGTCGTTCGCTCTTGGACGCCCAGGGCCTGGCACACGGTTAGTGCTCAGTTAAGTGTCCGGTGACTCGCAAAGTTTACATGGATGCGAGAGCCCCGCCAGGAGACCGCGCATGCTGGGCCCCGGGAGGCAGGTTCCAGGCACAGGGCATGAGCGCCAGGGTTGGCTCGCCCGGCACCAGGGTGTGGGGAAAGTTTCTTGGTCCCCGTGGGTACCTCCCCGCAGTGCTTGCCAGCCGCTGTGTCCTTCCTCTAATGGGGCAGAGGACACTTGCTGGGCAGAAGCCAGCACTTTTGAGCGCCTACTGTGTTCCAGGTCCAGGCTTAAAGTCCATGATCTTAGAGCCCATTAAATCTTTCACAATAACGAGATAGAATGGTGTGGGGAAGTTTTCTGTTTTAAAGAGAAATTTAAGATTTGGGGATGTGTTTGGCCGTTCTTACTAAAGTTTATAAACATAAGCCAACCCTATCACCACTCCTGGGTATGCATCTATCTAGAAACATACACAATAATGTTCATAGTGGCTTTAAAAAAAATGTATATCTTTTCATTGATTTCAGAGAGGAAGGGAGAGGGAGAGGGAGACAGAAACATCAATGATGAGAGAGAATTATTGATCGGCTGCCTCCTGTACGCCCCACACTGGGGATGGAGCCCGAAATTCGGGTATGTGTCCTGACCAGGAATTGAATCGTGACCTCCTGGTTTGTAGGTTGAACTTCAACCACTGAGCCACACCAGCCAGGCCATAGTGCCTTTATTTGCAATAGGCAAAGTTTGGAAACAACCCAAGGATCCATCAGCAGGAGAATGGAGAGAGAGACAAACGCTGGTGTGCTCACATCATGGAATAGTATACAACAGAGAAACAGGACAAACTATTGATACACACAACATGGCTGACTCACAGGATGAATGGGCACTGTGGCCAACCAAGCCATGTTCTCTGACCCCAGTCACAAAGTAAAGTCCAAAAACAGGGAAAACTCATCCACATAAATGGAAATCAGCCCACCAGGAGTGGCTCAGTTGGTGGAGGGTCACCCTGTGCAGAGGGGAGTGGGGGTGGTAGTTGCCTGGCCCATCCCTCCAGCAGGCATGTGGGGAGGCCTGCAGATGGATGGATGTTTCTCCCTCACATCAGTGTTTCTCCCTCTAGCTCTCCCTTCCTCTCTCTAAGCATGTCCTCAGGTGAAAATTTAAAAAAAGTATCAAATCACTAGTTACCTCTGAGGATGTTGAGGGTGGCGTACAAGGGGGCCTTCTGGTGGGAAGGACATACTGCGTATCTAGATGTGTGTTAGGTACATGGGCTTGTCCATATGTACACTTAAGATCGTTACACTTTATGCTGCAACTTAAAAAAGACAGATACCTGAGGTGTTGAAAGTTTTGGCCAAGATCACATGCAAACGCCTGAGTACATACCTGTCTCTAAAGCCGGTGCCCCCAAACTGAACCGTAGGAAGATGCCCGAACACTTTTCAGATGAGATTTCATTCTTTTACTTGGTAACTTTGTGTACATTTTACAACATTCAGCATTTACAAAATGTTAACATCACACCTAAACTCAACTAATAAAGCCAGCTCTGCCTTGTTTGGCCAAGACAGGGTGAACGTTGATTGGTTCCAAAATTATTCCTGCCTGCTACTGACCCCAAATCCAGTGACTTCGTATCTAATTCTTGCAGACAGAGCATTGGGAGTGTGGTGACTTGCTTTCAAATGCAGTTATTACCCGTTTTTGCTGGACCTCACAGGACATTAAAAAACAAAACAAGAAAAGGAACAGCTTCCTCAAAAACACTGTGAGATACGTAGTCCATTTGGGATGTTATAACAAAAATATCATAGCTCCAGCCCGTTTGGCTCAGTGGATAGAGCATCATTCTGTAGACTGAAAAGTTCCAGGTTTGATTTCAGTCAAAGGCACATGCCTGGGTTTCGGGTTTGATCCCCAGTGCGGCAGGGTGGGGGTGGGGGGGATGGAGATGGAGGGGAGCGTGCAGGAGGCAGCTGATCAATGATTCTCTCTCATCCTTGATGTTTCTCTCTCTCTCTCTCTCCCTCTCCCTTCCTTTCTGAAATCAATTATATATATAAAACATATATGCCTGGGTTTCGGGTTTGATCCCCAGTGCGGCAGGGTGGGGGTGGGGGGGATGGAGATGGAGGGGAGCGTGCAGGAGGCAGCTGATCAATGATTCTCTCTCATCCTTGATGTTTCTCTCTCTCTCTCTCTCCCTCTCCCTTCCTTTCTGAAATCAATTATATATATAAAACATATCATAGACTGGGTGGCTTAAACAGCAAACATTTATTTCTCAGTTCTGGAGTCCGGAAGTCCAAGATTTGGTGTCTGGTAAGGGTCTGGTTCCTGGTTCATAGGCATAGTCTTCTCACTGTGCCCTCACATGGCAAAAGGAGCAAGGGGGCTTTCTGGGTTCTTCTTTAAAAGAAGAACCAGCCAGTGTGGGTCAGAAGTTGAGTGTTGACCCATGAGCCAGGAGGTCTCGGTTTAGTTCCTGGTCAGGCCACATGCCTGGGTTTGGTTTCAAGCTTGATCCCTAGTAAAGGGTGTGCAGGAGGCAGCCGATCGATGATTCTCTCTCATCACCGTGTTTCTATATCTCTCTCCCTCTCCCTTCCTCTCTCTA